GAAATCAAGGCTCTCCATCCATGCTAAGGGTCACAAGGCGAGGCGGGCAGTGGCGGTGCAGTGCGGTGGACGACAGCCAGAGAAAGCCACTTAAAAGCCACTTCCTCTGTGCTTGCAGGGGGCCGCTCATCTCTGCCCAGGCGCCTTTGCTGGCGATGACACAGGGGAGACAGCCGCCCCACAGGATGGGCATATAGCTGTGGGGGGGTGGCTGGGACTTCTGCGCACTTTGGGTCAATTCAGGCAGAGCTCTGCCTGCTTCTCCTCCGTGCTCCGCCACCCCAGCCCCAGTGCGGGTTGCATCCATCCCCATCACCTGCTAAAACTCCAGAAGGGGCTACTGAACCTGCCTGGGAGCGCCCTCCCTCCCTCCCTGCATGCAGCCCCTGCCCCATGGGGGGGCCTCCCCCCACTGCTCCCCACGAGCCAGAGTGGGCAGGAGCAGGAGAGAAGGCCCCCTATCAGTGACTTCAAGTCCACAGGAAGGAGTTCATCTGGGTGGGAGTAGAAGCGCCCACGTTCAAGGGGCTCCAAAGTCCTCGTTGCCTGGTCTGGAGCAGAGGGACCCCCGGGGGCCACTGCCCTGATTGGGGGCTGCAGAGCATCTGGGAGCCCTTCCAGGCCCTCAGCAGCGCCCTCTGCCTGTCAAGCAGGGAACTGCTGGGGTGAGAAGGCAATGCAGGGCCAGTTCCTGACCGTACCAAGCAAAGATCTGACCCAGTTGGGTGGGTGGGGTGTTCTTGATGTGTTTCTCACGCGATATATTTGCTGTTATCCTTGGTATCCTATGCCGGCTTCTCTCACGGGTTCCGCCCATCTTGGAACTGGCAGCTAAGCAATTGGATCAGTAGTTTTGATTGGGCTTTGCTAGGGGTTTTATAGGGGGTATTTTAGAGCAGGCTTTTTATTCAATATTTATGGTGATTTTTATTATTGCCTGTTCACCGCCCTGAGTCCCGTAAGGGAGATAGGGCGGTATATAAATTTAAATAATAAATAAATAAAGTATATATCCCTGCGTAAGATGAGCAGCCGGCCTCATCCACTCCCTTCCTTGCTCCGCACAGCACCAGAGACCCTTTGGGTGTCCAAAGGGGAGAATCGGGACCTTTTTCTGCCTTTGCCGTAGGGAACATTTCAAGCAAAGGTAGCACAGGACGCTGGGTGCAGCCTTCACACTGGAACCCCCCCCCCCCCCGTGCCTGATCCCCTTTGTGGAGAGGAACCAAATACTTCCAGTGAAAAATAAACTCTACTTTAAATTAGGTGTTTTGGAAGCATTCTCCGCCACGGTGCTTTCTCAACTTCTCAGGCAAGCCCTCAGCGCTCTCCTACCCAACCCTTAACCCGATCCAACTCCACGACCTTTTTTCCGGATCAGCCCACGCTGACTAGGAGCTGTAGGGCAGCGCTGAGTGGGTGTCCCTGAGCAAGGGACACTGGTGATTATGTCAGCTGTAGTCCACCAGCCCCGCAGGGACCTCGGCTGGGAAGCATGGGTCTGGAGCTTTACTTGAGACCATCAGTGACCAGCTACTACATGACCTCCAAGGTCCCTTCCAACTTTACCATTATTATTATTATTATTATTATTATTATTATTATTATTATTATTATTATTATTATTAAGGGCCACAGTTTGGGCAATGGGCCCTTGAAGTTCTCAGCCTCCCCTTGGGAGATGCCAATCACTGCTTTGGGTCAAAAGTTGGCACTGCTTCCATCACAGGTCGACCCTCCTTCTTGGCTTTGCGAGGGTCCTGCAAGGAAGACCTTCCCCCCTCCCACCCAGATCTCCTGCCTGGGCTCTGCAGTCAGGAAAGCCCCGTGGCCCAGGGTCCAAGGAACATCACCTTCCAAGACAAGGGGCACCTCTGGAGCTCAGTATCTAGTCTCAGCTCCCCAGATCCAAAAAATAAAATAAAAAAAATCCTGGAAGGCGAATCAGCTACCTTTCTGCCTCTTATAATAATAATAATAATAATAATAATAATAATAATAATAATAATAATAATAATAATAATAATAATAATAATAATAATAATAATAATAATGGTAAAGTTGGAAGGGACCTTTGAGGTCATCTAGTCCAACCCCCTGCTCAGGCAGGAAACCCTATACCATTTCGGACAAATGGCCGTCCAGTCTCTTCTTAAAAACTTCCAGTGTTGGAGCATTCACCGCTTCTGGAGGCAGGTTGTTCCACTGGTTAATTGTCCTCACTGTCAGGAAGTTTCTCCTTAGTTCTAGGTTGCTTCTCTCCTTGATCAGTTTCCATCCGTTGCTTCTTCTCCTGCCTTCTGGTGCTTTGGTGAATAGCTTGACTCCCTCTTCTTTGGGGCAGCCCCTGAGATACTGGAACACTGCTGTCATGTCCCCCCTCGTCCTTCTCTTCGTTAAACTAGATGCCTCTTTCTCTTCGTTGCCTTGCATCGCTGGCAGGAGGCTATGCCAGCTGGTGATTATGTCAGCGGTAGTCCACCAGCCCCGCAGGGGCCTCGGCTGGGAAGCATGGGTCTGGAGCTTTACTCGAGACCATCCGTTGCCAGCAAGGACCCTGCTCCCCTCCATTGCCGGCTGGCCGAGGGATCCGTGCGCCCGCAGGCTTTCACGTGCATCCCCGCGCAACTCAGCATCCCAGCCGGAGGACGTCCAGAGCCGTTGCCTTGGTGACGGTAGGGAAGAAAGGGCGCCTGGGAAGGGGGTAGATGACACACATCGGGAGGGAGGGAGGGAGAGGGAGGGAGATCTGGCTGGGAGCTGAGCTAAATTTAGGAGGAGGAGGAGGAGGAGGAGGAAGCGGGCCCGGGCATCTGGGTCTGGGCTTCACCCCCCGGCCAGGGATGTCCTGCGGGCGGCGGACGAGATGAGTGTGCGAGGCGGGGCCGCTGCAATCGCCCAGTCCGGAGCGCGGAGCCGTTTCAGCACCAGCAGGTGAGGACAGCTCCCGGCCCGTTGCTGGCGTGGGG